CAGTGAAGAAAATGTCGTTAAAGTGATTACGTTCAGTGTAGGTGTATGGTGGTCTACTTGTGGACCTAGGTAAACACAAAGGCTTTGTCTAAATCTCGTTTTTTAAGAGTATATAGCCGGTGGCATTTTATTCTCACAACGTTGTTATTATTATCTCCATTATCCAGACAAAATTCCCTCACTATCCGTTTCATTTACATGACTTGTCTTATTAATGTTATATTAAATAACGAAAGTGACACAGTGTGCCATTGAAGAAGAACGAAGACAATTCAATGAAGAAAATTGATTTCATGAAGTGGTACATTCGTGTTTATACTTAATTTATTTGCTAAAATAGAAGTCTACAGCAAAATAGAGTGGTGATCAATAATACAAAAAACTTGAAGTACTAACTTGTAATGAATTGCTTACGAAAATCAAATATTGAAAGGAAGTTATGCAATTATCGACAAATGAAGACGTGTTAATGTAGACATAATTGTCCACTTGATAGCTATTAAGAACAAAATAATTAAAACTTGTAATAATCGCTAATTAACAATTGTGAAAATAATCGAAAAGTAGAAATAATAAAACAAAATAAAAAACGATGAGTAGTAGATGATAAAAAGAAGGTTAAGATAATGGAAGAATGAGGTACTGAAGATTGGGCTTGAACTAGTGGATAGCAATAGCATTTCCAGTACATAAGTTTTTCATTTGCATTCATATTGATCGTAGTCTTCTATCTGTATGTATAATTTTAAAGGAGGCTTCTGGTGAAGCGGAGTGGTCAGAATTAACTATGTCCCAAGATTGAACATTTGACCGACTTCTGTTATCCCTTAGAAAACCAGAGAAAGTAATTTCGGAGATGCGGTTTGAAAGAGCTCGCTCTGTGCGCCCTATCTAGTCTGTTGCATATGAGCAAATAAACTGATAGACGCACATTGACCAAGTCCAAAGCGAGAGTTTATTGTCCGCCCGACTACGAATCATAGGCTAACTAGAAAAGATAACACGATGTTCAGCTCGATAGAATGTTCTCCTCCGAGATCTTGAAAGTCTATGTTGCAGAATTCTTTGGTTCTGTGGTTACTCTTTCGCGCTATTACTTCGGCTTCAGACTTTTCTCAGTCAATGTAGAGAGATATACACTGTTGATCAGTATCTGCCAGAGTTTATCAAGTTTGATATCTGTCGTATCTGCGGTACATATTTGTTTAGCCCTCGTGCGGAGAGAATGGATTAGGTCTTATTTCTGCTTCAGTAGTACTCAACTTTGGAAGGCTTCAACTATGTAGAACAGTCGTAATATAGCTCCTTTAGACATATTGTCTGAAACTTGAAGCAAGGCCAAGAAAACTTCATCTACTTCAATATGATGTAAACTGTCTCTCAAGTGAGAAAAGACCTTTCTAATTTACAAATAACACTATCTTGAAGTATTTATTTTATAACAGGTGAAAAAGTTCATCTAAAAAAACTTTGTTAAATTCATTAATGGATGCTTTATTCGGGCCTTTTGACAGTATCACAATAATTATGAATTTATAACTATAAATGTTTTTTTATGCTTTTAACTCTTAGCTATCATACGAATAAACAAACTCGTTGTAACACTGTTCATGAAATATCGAACCTCGTGGAAGATTTAAAAATTTATAAGTTTTATTACTACTTTGTGTTCAACTTTGTTATTGCTAATGATGTTCTATTGAATTTGATCTTACTAGGAATAGAAAAAACATCCCTATAGCCACCAAATTAACCATTTATATACTTCATAAAAGTTGTGTCACGTAAATATGTAGTGCGTGCCATTTATACTGATCGATATCAGTAGTATGTAGCTGTAATCGGGAGTGAAATGCCTGCCAGCAAAAGACTGAAATGAAGGGAACAGGAAGGAATATAGAAAGTAATTGTAATAACAACAGAATAGCGAGAATCATGAAGAATGTAAAGAACAAGTGAAGGAAGATGGGCAAATAGTGTATTCAATGTATAAATTTTCATATTTTTTTGAAAACGTAATTTTTCATTGGTCAATCAACCAATCAACGTCGAGGTGTACAGAACAAGCTGTGAAACGCATATGGAGAAATTCGAAAACTTCACTTCTATCTGAAGTTCGTGCTGATGATGTCGTTCAGAAGAACGATGAGAGCTTTACGACCAAACCATCCAGCTCAGAGAACAAAACTCCATCAAAATCATCCACCTGAGCTACGAATCTTCTCCACCATCTCAGACAACCAATCATTATCATTCTCTCCCACACATCAGATAGTTACCCGGACTTAAGCAAGCAGTCCAATAATCTATGCAGCCGAAAACTATAAATGCTCATTTTATAATGAGTGAAAAGAATAACGGTTATTTGTGATTACTGTTGAGAGGATTGTTTGTATAGACGCATTTATTCCCAAGCATATAATATGAAACAACAAAATGTATGATTTCAAGTATACTTGATTTATCAAACAAATATTGTAAGCCGCTTATTGTTTCAAAACGAGTCGGTTTATGACTCAACAACTGTCTTCTACCCACAATTAGCACAGAATCGATTCAGACGCGTTCAAGTTCAATACATTTGGGCTTTCGTCCCAGTTACGGTAACGTGCTTGAATATTACGGTCATACAAGTTAGGGTTAAAGACAGAATCTTATGTGTCTTGCTGAAGGTTACCTTAAATCAAAAAGTGACTAAAAGGGAAGCTGTAGATAAAATAGCTGTTTAATGATTCCTAATTTTGAATAGTACTCTGGTTAATATGAACAAAGTTTTTATCATTCTCAATTCATCAAGAAAATAAAAAACATCAATTTAATATCACTTTATGGGATAAATCTAGTAAATACAGGTTTCTGAAATATAAACTGATCATAACTTCAACATAAATCGATGGTGATTTTATATCGGATCACCTAATTTGACTAATATACATACACTTTTCCGTGTTTATGACTTAAAACCTATTTTAGTCAAATATTATTTCACAAGTTGAAATCATGAGTCAATTGAAGCTAGACCACCATGGAAAACCCGGAAGCACTGGACGGCTGTTTCGTCCTAGTATGGGACTCCTCAGCAGTGTGCATCCACGATCCTGCAACCTGCGAGATCCGAACCCAGGACCTATCAGTCTCACGCCAGGCGCTTAACCAATCGGACCACTGAGCCGGCCGGCATCCGACGGTGTTAATGTCTAACTTCAACCAAACCAGGACGTTGCTGCACCGTATACCATTGTCTTCAGTGAGCTGATATCTCACAACAGACCTGGTTGAACTCCACTGGTAACGGCTTCTCACTAGAACCCTAGGAGTATCTCTTGAAGTCAGTCACTAGTGAGCAGATGATTATTATCGGAAGTCCTGAAATTGATTAGTATCTCGTTTGAATAGAATCATCAAACTCTGTATAGATAAACAATAATATACAGATCAGTGTTAGGTGACTGAATTCTCTTGTCATCGACATTTTTATTCACATTTTTTTGTATTACTATTATTTCTACTATCATGACTATTCTATTTCAATATCACTAATCACCTCCTAAATACTTGAATAGTTTAGTTAACACACACCCTAGTTTATTATTTTTTACCGAATTTATATCTCTTCTTACATTATATTATCTTCCGCCAAAGGTTCAGTCCAATTTGTAATTGCATTATTATTTCTATCCTTACATTATGTCTATCTAATATTTATCCTGATTATTAATCTCTTAATTTTATATCACTTAGAAACTAATTCAAGTTATTGCTAATAGCTTTATTCTCTTTTACAAATAATGTTGTTATAATATTAAACAATGTATTTTACCTTAAAACTGGCCAATTTTTCTGGGGCAGGGAGGGGTAATTCATTTGGATATGATAATTGTAGGATCTGCAGAGACTTTAATAAAAATGATATTCTTCGTTCATATATATATATACGGTGTTTTATAATGATAGGGATTAATAAACAATTAAATACATATGATATATACATTTTTTTCGATAAATCCTAATGACTAAACAAATGATCTAACTTTTAAGAGGATGGTATTTACCAAAACTAATTGAACCAGTTTCTTTTTTTAATACAAAAAACATTATGCTAAAGGATTAAACATTAAGAAGATGGGAATTATATTGTTTATTTTATAATACCCTATCATATTACTGTGTATAATGGTAATAGTAATGTAAAACTACGCTAGACAAATAAAAGAAAGAAAGGATCATTCTAACTAGTTTCTTCTAAAATTTTCAAATTGTAGAATGTTATATTAATCATAGTATAAGTAGGTTGTTCATCAATTTTCAAAAGTTATGAAGATATAAGTGAAAATGATTCTAGAAAATTAACTAATAAAAGAATTGAAGCTATAAGGAATCTTAGAAAAAATCAATTTTCTTTAGCTCTATCTAAATTAATAATTGTAAGTGTTTTAAAATAATGAAAAAGTATTCTGTGGATGTAAATCTAATTAAATACTCAAGAATGAGATGAATGCTATCTTTGAATCACCTATTGGTATCAAAGTCAAAGCAATCATTGATATAGGTTAAAGAGGAAATCAGCTTATAGCATTTGTTGTTACATCAGAGTACGATATATTGTAGAAACAAAAGTTATTCTTCTCAAGGTAAACTTCTTTGAAAAAACGTTTGTTGTTTACATATATTCATTTTAGAATGGGGTTTTGTAGAGATTTTAGTATGTTCAATGGTTGAAATCATGAGTCAGTTGAAGCTAGACCACCATAAAAAGCCTGAAAGCAGTGAACGGTCGTTTCGTCCTAATATGCGACTCCTCAGCAGTGCGCATCCACGATCCTGCTCACGGGTTTCGAACTCAGCGCAAACGCTTAACCTACTGAACCACTCAGTCGGCATCCAAAAGTGTTGATGTCTAACTTCAATTCACGAGATTGTGCCACCGCGGATGCGCACTGCTGAGGAGTCACATACTAGGACGAAATGGCCGTCCAGTGCTTCCAAGCTTTTTATGGTGGTCTAGCTTCATCTGACTCATGATTTAAACTATTGATACATTTTCTTGTTAACGTCTTCATCAACTTTCATTTGTTATTCGAAAAGCTTCGTTCTCAATGTTACATTGAATTTCAAATACATTTCATTAGTCTACCTATATATATTTCGTTCGTAGAAGAAATGCCTATTGAGACAATTCACAATATTGACTTCGGTTGTAAAAATATTAAAATTATGGTATTTGTTCATATATATGCTTACTTTAAATGATAATTATAAATAATCATTTTAAAATCCCTCATTCATTAACTTTAGTATATTTTATTGATTTCGATAAATAATCTTATTCTGGGTATCTAGAGGACTATATCTAATCAATAATGGTATCATTCCAATGTCAAAAACAAAAAAAACAGAGAAAAAAATGTATTTAATATGTATTTAATTCGTGTAATCTGCTAGATTGAAAGTACTTTTGGTTCAACAAAAAAAAAGAAAGAAAAATAAAAACTATATTTACATCAATCTTAATGAATACAATTTAATCTGATAGATAAAGGTATAGAAGATTCATTTTTTGTTATACATACAATATGGAACAAATTCATTGATACTTTTGAACTCTTGTCTTATATGTTGATCAGTATAGATTCAAATGGTTATTTACAGAAAGTATACTCTTTAATAGATGACCATTTCATTCATCATTGATATTATACGGATATAATATAAACAAATCAGTTAATTAATTTAAAAAAAGAAGCTAACAAAGAAGAGATGTTCAATGGTTAATACATATTAATGTATAGATAATAAATGTTATAGTTAAATAATTATAATTTAATAAATAAGCATAATTTTTTACAGATTTAATTGGACTTGCTTTAATCTGATTCAAATGATTTATAACAGTTTGTTTTCTCATATTCATTTCATCTATATTTTCATCATTATTAATTAAATTTGTCATTTGTAATGATTCTAAATGTTTTGATAATCTTGTTTCATAATTAAATGTACAACCATCCGGTAATGTCTCTTTAAAATAATTCATTATTAATCGTACTGCATTGGATGGACATGCATTATGTAATATATTATATAAACAATCTAATTTTGTTCGTAGAGATCTAAACGTTCAAAAAAAAAGAAAAAAAAGAAAGAACGAATATTTAATTTAATAAGAAAAATGGAAACATGAATGAAACATTATGATATTGAATGTTTAATAAGTTTACATGTCGATAAAATGAATGTTCAATGTTATATGATTGTGTATGTTATTTCATCAAAGAATATTTAACTTTGTCCTGGATTAACATCAAACTTTATTTTGATAAGATGAAGAAATTAGATTTATCTAGTTAGTAAATACAAATATGTCTTATTGTATTGCTACTATTGATGATTATATTTAAAACTGTACATTTATACCAGCATCGTTGTGTTATCGAAAAGCTAGCAGGCAAGCGAGCGAAAGAGCGAGCTAGTGAGTCAGCGAATATGAGTACGAATAAGCAAGTATAATGAACATGAATAAAATGTACATATGTATATATAGTGAAATGAATGAATCATTGAATCAATTAAGCAACTAATAGTAAGGCTAGCAAAGTGAATAAATGCATAAGCAGTAAGCAAATGCTCAGGTACACATATTCATACAAGTGTAATAATAATAAAGGTACAATGGTATAGATAAGCTATTATTGTACGAATGACTCTGTTCGTTGAATAAGTTAACAAAAAAAGCTTGACCAAATTAAATGTGAACATACTCAATTACACGTGAGCTAACTCAAGGTTTTAAATTTAATTTTATGCTCATGAACAAAATAATAATCTACATTTTTATATTGACACATTAGTGGGATAACATTTTTTATTTTTATTTTAATGGTTAAGATCATGAATCAATTGAAGCTAGACTACCATGGAAAACCTGTAAGCACTGGACAGCCGTTTCGTCCTGTCGTGGGACTCCTCAGCAGTGCGCAACCATGACCTTGCCCCCTGCGAGATTCGAACCCAGGACCTACTGGTTTCGTGCGCGAGCACTTAACCACTAGACCACTGAGCCTGCATCCAACGGTGTTAATGTTTAACTTCAAATATACAATCATATTCACATGAGCAATATGAAATTAAAAAACTAGTCCAAATACTGGCCTTTTAATATGATGGGGATCTTTAAACGATTAATATGAATTTAATAAACCAATCAAGACAATTTATGAGTAAGGGATAATAGGGTAATAGATTATACAAATAAACAATATTATCAGAAGGGATTTCGCGGAGATTTTAGAAATTTCATTGATTGAAATCACGAGTCAATTGAAGCTAGACCACCATGGAAAATCTGGAACCACTAGACAGCTGTTTCGTCCTAGTATGGGAATCCTCAACAGTGCGCATCCACGATCCCGCACCCGACGAGATTCGAACCCAGTGTGATTAGATCGTTCGAAATCTATTGCACTAATATATCACATAGTTCTATTAATCTTAACTCTCTTATTACACTATACAAATTAATCAAACGGATTTGTTACTTTAAACAAATCAAAAGTTCAAAGTGATAATGTGATGACAGGTATACTAGATGTGATAAGAAGAACCAAGAATTGAATCATTGTTTCATAATAGGAAGTAGGTCAGCAACTTAGGAAAATAGACATGAAATAATATTCATTAAAAATCATTAATCAATATGAAGTGTTCATATAATGGAGTTAATAAGAGTAAACGAACAGAGTGTGGAAAATAACAATAAATAAAATTGTCTGCTGGGGTTGGTGCGGCCAAGAAAGAGATAAGTGTTACAAATTTCAAATAAACACAAAGATTCAGGTTATTACCTAGTATCTCTATAGCTTCTGCTGTGTAAGAGATGAGGTCGAACCCCATAAGGAAAATTGATGGGTATACGATAAGTTACTTTAAATAACCTACTTCTGATTACTAGATGTCTGCTACTGATTACGTGTGACAGAGTGAAGCTACATTTTGTTTTATTTGTATCCTTTTTCAACCACGAAGGGAGGCGATCACTAATATGTTGACTCAGTAGTTTGGTTGTAAGCCCAATATAGTTTTCTGCCCAGTAGCAGCTGAATAAGCAGATACACATGGGTGTGGTAAAACAAGGTAACGTATCCTTTAGAATCACCACAACTCGGCTAGAAAATGATACACAGGGGCTAGTTGCACTAGACATTCCTCTTCATGACGTCGTGTGGGTCTATCCCCCTAGCTCTACATACAAGGTATCTAACTAGGTTTCTTCTATAATGAATGGGTACAAGGCTCATAAATATATATGCTGATTTACCCAATAAAGTTTTCTATGCTCACTTCTATTGACTGAATCCTTTCCTTTTTAAAACGTCAAGAAAACGTAATTTGTCATCAATTTTCTCAGAACACAAAAGTTTTATTGTTTAATGTTTATTGCTAAGTAGTTGTAAAAGTTCTTATTCACTTTTTACATTATTCTAATGAAACTTAATTAACATTATTCACTGTCAATTCTTCCAAGTTGTTGACCTACTTCCTATTATAAGACATTGATTCATGTCCTGGTTCTTCTTATCAAATTGAGTACACCTGTCATTACACTATCAATTTAGACTTATTGTTTATTCATGTGATCTATTCCCATGTTAACACTTAGAAATTGCCTTGATTGGTTTAGTAATTGCATAAATGCATATTTATATTATTGTATATTAAAGTAACGCATGATGAGGATCTTATTCAAAACAATATTGTTCGCTTATATATGTTATTCTAATTCACAATATGGTAATTTTCAGTAATTTCATTTTGTCAAAAATATACTTTTGTTTTGAACTATAGAACAATCAATCAATTGATAGATTCAATATTGTTTTCACGTGTTATACAGTACATAGTTGGAACGAAATAAGTTATTCTACGTTTTGTTTGTTTTTCTCAAATAGTTTATTATAACGGATGGGTAGAAATAGTCAATTCAATTTAAAACTCTATCCGACTAGTGTTTAGGTTTCACACTTTTTCGGTTCATTTATTAAGTAAAGAACAAAGAAGTATTAGTATATTTAAAATAATCTAATCAATAGAAAATCGAGTTCCTGATGTTTTATGACTTTATGTGAAAATTGTTCCTCCATGTGATGAATAGTCTTTCATAAATTACCGCAAGTATTATTAATTCCAGGGGTAAAGTTCATTCAGATATTCAAAATATACATATATTATTTCATTCAGGCCAACTGTGATTCATCCAGCGGTATATTTGTGTGAAAAATAGAACAAGTAAATATATTATCTAATCGTGTTCATCATATGAGATCGTAAAAAGCTAAATTTAAGAAATCCGCAAAGAACATCCAAAAAAAATAAATTGAATTTGATAAAGCAATTGCTTAGCATAACTAAAGATGTACTAAATGTAAAGCTTGCAGAAAACTTTACTACGAACAAATATTCCTTCAAATATGCTTTGTTATTTAATGTGATAGTTAAGACAGAAAATCCTATTTGGACGGATAGTCAAGTGTTTACTGCACTTGTATATATATATATATATATACGTAACTGTCAAGATTAACAGCCTAATAAACAACAGAAAACAAGAATATACAGCCTCAACTACTTAACTTTAGATTATAATTATACCTTGAGATGTATAATCCTGTAATAGGTATGATTATCCTTGGAGATCGATTTCATAACATAAATTTAATACGATATTCAACAAACAATTCGAATTGTAGGAATCTTTAAATACACGTATAGTAGCTTAAAGCTGGATTGATAATGACTTTAAAAATCAATTATTTTGACAGGATTATCAATATTTTCTTATTTAACTTTTTTTGTTTTGTTTTAATGAATCAGTCGCTAAAGGAAATATTTATTGATCAAATAATACTTCAACAATTGAAAGGAAATTAATCTTTTCATCTAAAATTTCATAATTGTTTTATAAATGTACAATGCTCACTAGTGACCAGCTAGGTGAGAGAATTCTCGGAGTTTTGGTGAGAAGTCATGATCAGTGGAACTAATCCGTGTCGGGTAGAGACAGGTATCTGCCTCAGTACAATGGAAGATGGTCGCGCAATTTCGTGGATTGGTTGGGGTTAGACATTAACACCATTAGATGCCGCTCATTGACCTAGTAGGTTGAGCATTCGAGCGCGAGACTGAAGGCCCTTGGTTCGAATCCCCCGAGCGGGATCGTGGATGCGCACTGCTGAGTAGTCCCACAATAGAACGAAACGGCCGTCCAGTGCTTCCAGGTTTTTGATTGTGGTGGTCTAACATCAATCGGTTCACAATCTCAATCAATAGCAATTAAAATTGTTTATTTATTCATATAAAACTTATTTTATCACTGAATTCAACATCTGACCAAGGTTCTTTTTTGTATTTTCGCGTGACAATTACAAATGACAATTACGTGATATGATAATAAATAAAAAATAATCTTAACCAAATATTTTATATTTTGTCAGTAGTAGATAAAAAAGATATAAAAATGATTAATTTTAGAGATTTGGGAAGTGATTCTCAGTCTAAAAATTGAATAGATATGCAATTCATCACCTAGCTTTAACTAAATAAAATACCAGTTTATTGAAATAAAGACATATAACTTAAGTGAAATAAAGATAAAACGGCATAATGTAGTTGAGTGATATTAAAAATACGTGTTCATTGATAGCAAGAATATCTTAGAAGAAGTTATTCATAAAACCTTATTATAGAAACAGACCAAATCCACGGAACGAGCTGTTATCCACTTCTCTTTGATGTGTGTGTTGTAGAAAAATACAATCAAACCTATACGAACTAATTTTCTAACTTCAATGTGCGAACATATCTTACAAAATCTTCGTGTATTTTATACTATTTCTTACATTTATTATGTGTTTTAATAATTATTATTCGTCGGAATAGTTTTCTTACAGTGTAAGCGTTTGTAAAATGTACTGTACCTTCATACGTTGAGTAATATTCAAGCATTTTAGAAGTTTGTAAATTAGGTCGAAAGACTGTAGATTATTGTGATTATGGGCTCTCTTAAATTATTATAAATCATATTTTATGAAAATAATCATCCAAACACACCTTGATGTACTAATACTTTAATTTAATAATGGGTAACTGTTTATTACATATGAAAACAATAAGAGACTAGATCTAAATGTTTGATCCTAGTTTGTATGATTATAATTTGAAATATTGTCATCACTAATAACTTAATATTTTTAATAATGATATTAACTAAGATCGTTGAGAACTCAGATGCTCAAAACACTGTCAGTAGGGATTTGAACAATCTCTTAGATGATATCCAGCTGATCGGTCCCTAATAGGATGAAGTGAGCGTACTGGGTTCCACTGTTAGCCGAAACCCACTTTTTTTTAGAAATGCAGATGACATTGGTCAAAAATTACATCAACAGAGAAACCAATGTAAACCGAGGCTGGATACTATATAATGAACATACAATTAATACTTATCGATGACAGAAGCCATTTGACACGGAAACAATTTCCCCGGATTGTCTGATAACAAAAGTAAGGGTGGAGAAATTACTTAGGTTTTACGCAGTTAAAGCGGAAAGTATTCTTTAAAGTGTGGCTTTGGAAGTGACGTCACAGAGAGTTTTCTTAGAATTAACGGAATTTATCTCCTACTTCAAAATATCTCAAACGAACGCTTGCACTGAAATAATAATGGCAAAACTTTTTAAGAGTTCATAGTTAATCAGACAATAAGATGACCACACTGATTTAATCATGACGTTTTTAAACGATTTTATAGATCGGAATGCGTGACAAACAGACGATTTTCCAACATTGTTTCAACCTACCTCGTATTTATTCTACCCTTTTATTTCTAATCAATTTAGATGCTTTTCTGTAGACGAACTTTCATTTCCTTCCGTATAAAGGAGCGTTGTTTATAAATTACTATTGGTAGCCAAATCGTCACATATATGAGCACTTATGTTATGTTTTTCTGTTTTTCTAACACAGATCCATCATTCCTTATAATGCTTGTGAATTAACGCGATATAGAGGCGATACGCATAGTTTGTACATATGCCACTAAGAGACTGAATAATTGCAGTCCTTAACATCAATATGAAGATTCAAGCAAACAATTCAAAGTGAATTTAAACTTCACCCATTGCACAAGCAAGTAGCTATCAAGACTCTGTAGAAAAGTGTATAACGCGAACGGTACTGGAACCGAGCCCCGGAGTGAACGTCAACTCTGAGATGTAGGTATATCCAGCTGACGAGTTCTAAAGAGGATTAAACGCGCACCCTTGACTTTACTGTTAGCCGCCATCCATATTTAATTATACTGGATTTCATAAAGCTTATATTTTTATTTAGAACACCAGGATTATTTCGATAATGCAATGAAAAGACAAAGTTTATCAGAATTATTAACTAAATACTTTTCTCATATATTCGCCAATTCGAAATTTAATTAAAATCTGTGTTAAGCTCTTTTGTGATGTTAATTTAGATACAGACGAAATTTATGGATGTGTGATGTTTAAATTCTTGAGAACAAACTTTCAATTGATGGAATAAATTTCTGGCTTATGAATGTTTTAAAAGCTCACGTTGTCTATCCTCGATTCCAGCATGTTTTACACAGTAAATTATTGATTGCTTGGACAGCTCTAAGAAAAGATAACGTCTACTGAACCAGAATGACTTTTCTAAATACTGAGGATACGGTTTTAGGGGTATGACCTAAAATGAAGTTTTGTTTTATCTTTTGGAGAATCAGGTTACTGCTGCATTCATTTTCCCTAGTATTATGTTTTTATGAGACCATTGTAATTTTCATAACTTTGTGGATCGATGTAATATATGTTTCCTTACTGTTGAACCATGGATCAAATGTAACCCCAGTCACACCATCAAAAGAAAATTCATGAATGGAACTGATAAGTAAATCTCTATGTTATACTTGCAAATAATCTGATCATGAATTTCGTTAAAGTAAACTGATTCTCTACATATGAGCTTCTGTGATTCTTATTTGTGGTCATTCGAATTATTTTTCCATACGCTTCATGAATACTTTTGACTACTCAGAAGAAATATTATTTGTACCTCGATTCGTTCTACTGCAGTTAGTAGAAAGGTAATCAGAGATCAAGTACGTTGCATATTCTTGTATTATTAAATTAATCCCATTTTATTGTTAATTTAATAAAGATAGTGTAGAGAATGAGAACACAAATAGAGACAATCGAATGCGACCATACAGAAAATCTTACTAAAATCTGAGAACCATACAGTAAATACCTTATTTGCAAAATATGAGACTTCATTGTTCTTTTGTTTCCACAACAACCGTTCTTTGGTCGTGTTCTGGTTCCTTCCATCTTCTTAACCTTCTACTGCCAGGCATTTCGCTATCAATGATACATGCTACTTATATTTGTCGACATCAGTAGCACACATCACAATAGGAAAAACCGAAATATGGACTTTATAAAAAATAAGCCACTTTTTCGACTAGTAACTAATTTTTTTTTCATCCTGTCGATCATGTACAGATTTGTAATGATAGATTAATTGAAAACATCTTAAATCAATTTGAATTAGTTGAAAATGTTGCTAATGTTCTAGTAGTATGGAAGACTGATGCAATTAATAATTGAGTTTCATTATCTTATGTAAACACCACATTGTTTATCATTTTAAATAATAAACATTTCACCATGTTTTCTAATAGGAATAAATAAAAATTGCTTCGATAAGTTGAAGCATTCGTCAAACATATTTTAATGATCTACTTATTTTGAGTATTGAAGTTTTAAGTAATAAATAGTTATACTACATCATATTGTGATGCGTGCTACTTATATTGATATAAGTAGTATATGACGCGAGTTGAAAATAATGTCTGGCAGGAGAAGATGGGGGAAGATCAAAAAAGGAAGAGCGGAAACAGCGCAATTTGTAAGAAAACGCATGAACAATGAAGTGTGAGACAATGGTTTGATGATTACAACAGGAACAGTCCGGTTTGATATGATGGATTGATACTTTGCAAATTAACGATTTACTCTATGGTTTTTCTATTTTACTAAGTAACTCTGTAATTTCGTGCAAAATACAATTCGATTGTCCCCACCTGTGTTCTGTTCACTACAATATCTGTACAACATGTTACAGGGTGAAATGTTTACATTTAATGAAGTTTACTGAAATTACAGTATTCTTTAATTGCTATGGTCTTATGACCATTTAAGAAATTCATAGTAACTAGTTAAATCTGGAAGTATATTAAGCCAAAAATTATTTAATTGAATTATTTATGAATTCATTGTTGTATATAGAAGATTATCATTTATTGCAAGTTATTATGACAGTAATTTGTAAGAAAGTGACCATTGAATTTTTAATGAGCAATCTTATAGTAATTGTAAACTAATCATTCAAAGATCCAAATACAACGGTTTTCTATAAAAATAAAAATAAACATAGAGATAAGAGATAATGAAGGTGTAATAAAGTTACTTACTTGCATTCATATGATGTTAATGTGTGTTTAATGATAGAATAATATTCATTAGGACTAGATAATAATCGACTAGATTGATTATGTAATGCTAGGACAACTTCTTTAATTGTTTCATTTCTATGAACTGCACATTGTTCAGCTAATTTCTCTTGTTGTTTTAAACATCTATACTGATGTTCACGTAAAACTAAAATAGAAATATTGTAGTAAATGTAATTTACTAAATAAGCATTAAATAAAAAAACAGTATATTCATACTACTTAAATAAGTTTGATTTGAAAAGAAAAAAAACTTTCATTAAAACTAAACAATTTATTATAAGCAATAATGAATTCCTTAATAACCCTTAAATATTTTAAGCAGGCCAGTGATTTTATTTCATTAACTTTCAAATATAGCGTCTTTCTTTAAACATCAATATTAAAATGTAGGTACTTGAAATTGATGGGTTATATATAAGAAATATTTGTACTATACAACTCAACTAGGGATAATTTAGATGCGTCAAACTAGTATATATGACTGACTATAAATACAATGAGACAGATTTTATTTGAAGAACGAATTTAACAAACACAAGAGGTAAAAGTACAGCTTTTGAAGAAGCTTTAAGTAATTATAAAAATTAAATATTTTTACTTTCAAAAACTTTTTTAAACAAATGACAATATTCAGTTGGAATTTTCCCATTGATGTTTAGGACTGCAAATTAACAGTCTCTTACTGGCATATGTGCATATTGTGTAGATCGCCCCCATATTACCATAATTCACAAGCATTATATGTGAAGATGGATAGTGGCTAGCAGTGGAATCCAGGACGCGCGTTTCGTTCTATTTGGAACTCGCCAGCTGTATGTACCTCTTCTGGTAATAACTTAGTTGTTCATACTAACTGTAAATATCCTAATAATTCAACTGCAACTTCAGTCGGTTCCACTGTTTAAGGAAAACGACTTAAATTTACCATAAATACTAGTATTGTTATTGTTAAGTACTACTATCTTTTTGTTTAAAGTGCTTTATGTGTTGACATTATTTTGTAGTTAAAATGCTTAGTTAAGTTCTATATCTGAAGATTTCCTTAAGAGAATGAATTAATCTTCATATTAAACGTCAACATATAATTTATACTTATTTTTAAGTTTATTATTAACTTTATTGATGAATATAGAAAGTGGATACAAAAAACTATATATAGGGATCAAATAATCATTCCCTGCGATGCGATACCATCAATATAACATCGAGCCAATCAAAATTGAATGGGTTCAATTACTGCGAAATTAAATCCCTTAAACGTAGTTAAAAATGATAACTGTTTGGTATATTTTAGTCCGTCATATTTAATCTTCAGAACCTTGGATAATATTTAGAATAAATGTTATGTACTACACCAAGCAGTTTGTGTATTTAGTACCTACGCTTGTGATATTAAGAAACTCGAACGGCATAGTGACATATTTGTTTGATTTGGACCAACAAGAAAAACAACCTTGTGCCAAGTTCAATCTCCTTCATAATTTCAAACATCATATTTTGATTTGTTTCCAACTAACGAAGAATTTAAAGCTTAGCTTTACTTCAATCAATAAAACTGTCTTATTTGTTACGCAATCTCAAAATTATATCAGGAAACAATTTTGGCACTTTATTTATTATTTATTAAAGTTTAACGTCCAAAGTGAATTAAATTCAAGGATATTCTCTAGCATATTTCCGAGAATCATGTAAGTATTAGTTTTAATTTTGACTGATCATTGATGTACAATCATAGGTTGTTAATTATAGAAACAAACTATCTGAATTGTTTCATTGTGCAAAGCACTCAGCAACTAAATGAAAACATGGTTATTCAGACTTTTCAGTGGATAAAATTGTGCTTGGTTTACATTATTTGGCAATAGCATATTAGTGTTTCACTTCAGTAATTAATCACAAAATAAGCATAATTTTAATATTGACATTGTTTGCAGTGTTGTTTTCAATTTAAAGTCAGCATTTCAGTGGCTTGAAAATGAAGTTTCCCATATTTAGTATAAGATAGAAACAGGTGTTAAAATAACATGACCAAACTCTAAATCTTAAATGAAATTCACAGAAACGTAATCATTTTGTGATTCATTTGAGTATATTGGACATTGTGAATAGTGTAGTAAGTTTCATAATACAACTTACTTCTCAAATTATGTTCATGACATATATATGCAGCAGCTTTCTCAAATTTTCTTGTATCTAGAGAAATGGACCATATAATTTGTCGAAATTTCTCTTCGTCGGAATGATTACACGATTCCTCTGCTCTTTTCCTCATACAGTGAAATACCAATATGTGCCATCGAGTACTGAAAATATTGACAAATATATATATATATATATATATATATATATATAACAGAATACTTAGTGTGTAAAAAAATGTTGTAAACTAAAAAGAACAGAAATATTATTGTAATCAAAATTCGGTCAAGGATACCCCGTCTTGAACATACTAAATTATTGTTACATTAATGATGTCTCATCATTTACTAACGCTAAAGTGAGACAGGCACCTTGTGGTATTTATGAAAATCTATAATATTACACATTTGTATGTTTTTGAGTGTCTTCGTTGATGATATGAAGGACTAAATGTTGGTAAACCACTTTTGCAATATTTCAGCCTGCGGGATTCCCCTTGTTGTCGTCACTAGTTCGCAGTTATTTTCGGAAAGATAAGTAATGGGTAGCGTTAGAGTTCAGGATGCCAGTCTCGTTCCATTTAGAACCATCCAGTTGAATATGCCTGTATTTCACATTTGGTGTTCACTCTGAGGTTCGAATCCATTACCTTTGGTTTTCAAAGCTAAGTCACTATCTTCGATAAATAATAAACGTTATCTCTGTTGCATAGACTAGTAGTTACCCGGACTCATTATCCGATCGGAGCGTTTAAGGTCAAAACTAATGGGTTTGAATACTGGTGTGGATATAAACCCCAGGATGCAGATACATCTCTCTGACGAGTACAAAATAGGAGGACAAGAGCATTCTGGTTTTTATTGTTATTCATTATCTATTTTAACTTGAATCTTTAGTAAGAGAATGAAGTCATCAATAGTTGTAAAGCCATATTTTTCATATTTTATGCATTTCCATTGCTCGTTTTTGTCAACTAAAATAGCATACATGCTTATAAAATTAAAGTGTAAAACTTTTATTTTTTAATGTATCCATACATTTTAAAGAGAATAAAATAACTTTCTGTTTATTTTCTTCTAGATTAATCTATTAACATAAGTTAATCTTTTTCTGTACCTGCTTCCTGTATGTATAAATGTATGAATTTCTTTTAAATTACTCTTATAAATAGATCAAAGTAACATCCTGGTATAAAAAAAACTAGACGTTCTCATAAATCTGCTAACTGAATCAATTAAGATATCATCTCCATTTTATCAACATTGAAATTATTCAATTATCTAATTCAATGAGTCCCTTTGATAAATTTCGATAGTGTAATAAGAAGATGAAGATGATCAGAACTAATATGATATAATAGAGCAGTATATTTCGAACAATCTGATCACACATATTGTACTTGTTAAGAACATTAAGGCATAGAAATAAAAAGTCAACTAGACTAGAAATGGAGGGTAAGAGGAGAAAACAATTTAAAACTTAATCATTCTGGATAATAAGCTTTTATTTTTATATATAAATGTTTTTTACAATTGCATTGTCTATGATTAGATTATTCAAAATGTACTGCGCTAATATATCACACAGCTCTTCTTATTCATTTATTATTTATATATGAAATATCTTCTGTTAAACTTCATGTGTGATCAGATTGTTCGAAATATATTGCTCTGTTATGTCATATTAGTTCTGATCATCTTCATCTTCTTATTACACTATCGAAATTTATCAAAAGGCTCACTGAATTAGATAAGTGAATAATTTCAATGTTGATAAAATGGAGATAATATCTTAATTGATTGATGGTCGCGCGATTTCGTGGATTGGTTGATGTTAGACACCATCACCATTGGATGCCGACTCAGTGGTCCAGTAGGTTAGGCGTATATGCGCGAGATCGAAAGCCCTTAGTTCGAATCTCGCGAGTGGGATCATGGATGCGCACTGTTGAGGAGACCCACAATAGGACCAAACGGCCGTCCAGTGATTCCAGGTTTCCAAAGGTGGTCTAACATCAATCTGTTCATGAACTCAATCAAAAACTTAATTGATTCAGTTTGCAGATTTATGAAAACGTCTAGATTTTTTTTATACCACGATGTTACTTTGATGTATTCTTAAGAGTAATTTGAAGGAAATTCATATATTTTGTATGATATTTTATCAAGAATATTTGATCGAAATATATTTAACTGAAATCTTGCAAAACAATTTACAAATCTTATATATAAAAGAAACGAAAGAAGAATTTAAAAAAATTGATAATTACCGGCACATATATTCTGTATCATTTAATGAACCATAACCAAAACTGTAACCAGATAATTGACTTGTTGGTATATGAACTTTATGCTTTCTAGAACAATAATCTAATTCATGTTCTAAATTGAAACACTGTTTACGAGCAGTTATTTGATATTGTATTAAAAAAATATTAATCACTCCTGGTTTAAGAAAAACGAAAAAAAAGAAAAGAAAAAAAGAAAAAGAAAATTAAGATAAAATCTGTGAAAAAATAAACAGAATAAATCTAAAATGTTTAATTATCTAAGTGTTAAATAATAACAAAACTAAAATTTACTTGATGTTGTTTAACTTGTATCTTCACATTGTTATTTAGGACTACAATTGATCAGTCTCATGTTGGCATATGTACATCCTGTGCGGATTGACTCGATATAGCCTTAAGTCACAAGAATTATTAGCAAAGTTGGATAGTGGATAACAGTGGAATCCAAGACGCGCATTTTGTCCTATTTGGGACTTGTTAGCTGGATGTACCTGCACTCACTCCTAGACTCAAATCCAGTACCGTTCGCTTCAAACGACACGACGTTATCCACTTAGCTATTGAGTCCTGATAGCTTTTGTTTGTGACTGATCGATTGCAGTCTTAAATAATAATGGGAAGATACAAGTAAAACAACATCAAGTGAATTTAAACTTCACCCGATTGCACAAGCAGGTGGCTTTCAGGACTCAGTATCTAAGTGGATAACGTGATGGTGTTTGAAGCAAACTGCACTGGGTTCGAGTCTCGGAGTGAACATGAACTCTAGGATACATGTACATGACGCGTCTCAAATAGGATTCCATTGCTAGCCATTATCCATTTTTGCTAAAAAATACTAAAATGTTTAAAAATTTCTTGAAAAAAGCAACACTCACTACTACTAATTAATTCTAATAATAATTAAAATAGATGTTATTGAAAAAAACCCTGGTATATATAGTGTATACAATGTATGTTGAGGGAGGAAAATAATTTAAAAAATGGGAAATAAGTAATTGTTATTTTTACTTCTATTGTTTACTAGGTGATATTGTTCATCTAAAGAAATAATAATCATTTAAATTCATATATGAATAGACTTTCGATATAGGTACTTATTTGACGTAGACTAATGATAATGGTTCAATTAAGAATGGACGTGCTAAAACGTTGGTTACTTTAGATGATCAGAATATAAGTATTTGAATAACGATAATTATTAGTTACTAATTACTTGGATATTCTGGTTATTTTCATGTGAATATCCGTTTTCTAGATGGTTTCAAAATCGTTATAAAGTATTTGTACAATGCTGTTTATTTAAAGGTAGAACTTAATAGCAATGGTCAACTGAATATTTGTATATAAATTCAAATGTGACAAGTATTTATCAACAAAATTCATGACACATGTGAGATAGGCGGTGTCAGTGTCATTGATAAATGGAACATTAAGTATAAAATAATAGTTTCAGACTCTTCAAGCAACCAACTGTGTTGATTTCTTCGTAGCCTTTTAATGGGATTTGTTTGCTTGCATAAGTAACTAATTATTAAATTTTAAAACTTCCAGAAAAAATTTTCAAATCTGTTGAAAACGTTTTTGTGACCTGGGATCTGATCTCAGTTTGATATATATATAAATATGTTAATCCTCGTATATAATTATCGACTTAATCCTTGTTGGTGAATAACGGAATCAAAAAAGTCAAATACGAGAATGGATTTCGAATACGTTTGATTTGTACAATCGCTGATTGAAACAGACAATCAGAAAATCGCAGAGAAGGAAGCGAAGAAGGAGATAGCGAAGCGAATTGATGCACGGTGGAGAAAGTGTGTAAGCCAACTCCGTTTAACCAAGAGTTCAACAATATTTATAATCACACAAAAATAAACTACGGACATGTGATGAGTAGGACAAGACATGCCCACACATACGCTCCTATAAAAAAACAGTCAGAGCAGGTAAGTGAATAATTAACAAGTTCAAAACGTGACTCAAGAAAAATGGATGAATTGGCCTGTCCAGAAGCTAGAATAAGTTATATCGGCTTAACATAGTATCCGATACTACAACCTCTTAGGGACTTAAAAACAGCCATGGTTATTAAATTTATGAATAGAAAAATACAGTTTAAAACTGGTAATAGTGGTGTGCTTCGACTTCGAAATCTAGATATATATGCAGGTATATATTTATATTTGACGCCCTTAAAAGAAAAGTTTCAGTCAGTTGATGATATTATCATCATTTTGCAGAGATCAACGAAAACGTCTATGGATCTGTGCTTAGAATCTAGCCTTTAGCTTTGATTGGCTACAGCATTACCTAGAATGTAACGTTGAAGTACTATTTATTATATTGCGCCGATATTTGTTTCAGTATATGAATAGCCATCTTTAAATTACTTACCTGATTTATGTTTAATTTGTTTAATCTAGTTGTCATTTTTTTAACAAGATTGTTTTCTACGGGATGGGGTCACCGACCCCACATCCTACCCTCCTTCTTTGTGTGGACTTGGGACCGTCAGTAACTCTATAAGAGCTACAGGCGGATTTCCATCTTTAAATGCTTAAATGAATTTAAGAAGACAGGGAACTTGTCAGTCCCATTAAAATCCGTTATTTTTAATGATAGATAATGAAGTTGTATATATATTGATGTTATGCAGGTTAATAACTATCTTTCTATAATCTTAATATTAGCAGTAAAAAACACCAATTTCTTGAAATTACTTCTTCTCTAGGTCAGTTGTCTTTTGAAAACTTCACAATAATAATGAACTTAAGGATTTACCTCGTTCCAATCATTCTAAAACATTTAATTTTTGGTGTAACTGATGAATTACCAACAGTTGTGACTAGATATGACTTCATATTATCACTGAAGAACTTCATTTTAATCAAAATTAAACTATACTGTCATTACATTGATCTTCTAATAAAAGAAATGATGGAGATTTAGAGCTCAGGTGGATGATTTTGGTAGTTTGTTCTCTGAGCTATTATTATTATTGGCGGCCTGCTTGAATATCTGGGCTACCTGTTCCTCCGATCTAGATATTTCATCATGTTATCTGTTTTGTTGTTTGTTTTAGCACATCATTATGTCTATTGTGCGCACAATTTATTCAGGCGCGTTTATGAAAAGTTTACAACCTTTCGCTATACGTGATACAAAAAGGTACAATCAGCGACATCATGGTGGCTGGCAATATGCATTGAAACGAATGAACATTAATCAAATGTGGATTACCGAACTCCTAACATCTAACCGGTCATCATTCAAAATTTATCGTCACAATAGATCAAGGTATAAGAAAAGGAAACTTGTTGAAATACTTTATGCTGAGAATTCTATGTTGTACCAAAAATATAATGTGGAATAAAGCTTCTAATAATAATAATAATTATTATTATTATTATTATTATTCCATTCCACTCCATTTTTTCTCATAAACTACTTATCATTAACAAGTCTATAGTGTATATTCCTAAACATATTTAAATTTGTACAAATTTTATACCTGTATAACTATTAACAATGAAATCAATCATTCGTTAAACAATCTAGAAGGCAATCAAATAAACAATAATTTATGATCAAATTAAAGATAGAAAACAAATTCCATTTCATTTTCACTGGATAAATTCAATTTTCATGATTATTAAGGATTCTAATTGAAAAGTCATGGTTAAATATTTTCGGTCAGTTGATAGTTTCTTAAAGGAAAATTGTAATATGCATATGTATTCATAGAATGATGTAATATTACTTAAATAATAATAAAGAATAATTGAATAAATCATATCTTGAGGCAACTATATATATATATTATTTAATAATGATCTATCAGTTATTTATTCTAGTTCATGGTTAACAAAGGGATAAATAATAGATTTAAACATTTCTGAAACATATACCTAATAGAACTTTTGGATGTTAACGAAATAAATTAACAAGAAGCCCATTCAATCAATAGATTACACTGTAAATAATCTAAATTAGACAATTCGTTTTTTCTTTAAAGAGTAGTAAAGGATTTTGATTAGCTAACTTTAAATTCATTAACTAGAAAATTAACGTATAATAAACCATTTTTTTTCATAAATGTTTTCCGAATTTAATTGCTATTTGGATCAAAAAGTCAACTTCGAAGTCACCCTTTGAATAATGTCCACATTTTTTTATATATTTGTGATATTATTATAATACGGTAGTTTACCTTCAATGTAATATTAATTGACTGAAACTATTCATCAATTACAATACCTAATTCATTTTTAAATAAATGAGTTATCATACTTCTAGGTATTAGGAGATGACAACTATCTCTTTATGTTTTTAATTAACTAGATCCTCGATTCACTTAAAACTGTACTAATGCGAAATGATTTATGTCGAATACATGAATATGTATATTTCAGACATGACATTTGGAAATCCGCTACATGTTGAAATTACGTAGTTCTAGTAGAATATTTAAACAAATTCACATAGATTTAAAATTCTGATAAATACATAATTTAGTTAAAATTGAATGTAATTTTGTTTAATAATAAATTCAACTATTAAATGATTGATACCACCTACTGTTTATGGTCAGACTTTTAAGAAATCTATTCGGATTGTATAGAAAATAAATATTTTAAATAGTTTCAGATAAGTGCCCATAACAATCTAGGCATTCAATATTCAACTGTCAAGATGACAAGTTTAAATCCTTACCCAGTTCAATCATCAGGCTAGATAATTAATTCAGTATTCAAACACTATATGTATATATATAGATATTGAGTGGACAAAATCAATCAATAGCGTACTAGACCGTTTATCAATTTTTTTTCTTCCAGCCATTCCAGAGTTAGTTACAATTAGTGAAAAGGTACTATGATGTCTTGTATTTAATGTTTTATAGATTGAAAAACGATTATAAACGTCATTAGGAAGTGATAAATTACTAGACTTATGTTGGGTTTTTTTTTCGTTTTACAAATACGCATAAATATTGTATGAATATTTTTAGTTACTAATTTATTTCATGAAAAATATGAAATATTTAGATGAAAATATGCCCAAAAAAAACTGTGGTAGAAAAGTTAACCATGACACAAATAAAATCTAACTAATTATTTACTCACTCATAAATGTTCTAGTTCGAAATTTGTATTTGCGCTTACTTGTTGAACTACCTTCCTAATAGATTTTCAGACATCAATTGGTTGTTTAATTGTTTTTAGAATCGTTGAATAGCTTATGTAAAACGGGAATCAGTTCTCCTCTCGATGTGTAGAAATCTGTATGAGGTATTTGTTATTATATATTTATTTAAGTAAAACAAAGGATGATTGAATAAATGTCTAACATTGTCCAAAAAGAATTCACAAATCACGTTGTCGAATCCTTTAGTAATAAATCTCAAAATGTCAAATGCCTTCAAATTTATATAGTCAAGAGTTTATGCTTCTAAAACTGGTTGATCTAATTCACACACCATTAGTATCAGAAGGGGTTTTGTGGAGATTGTAGTAATTTCAACAGTTGAGATCATGAGTCAGTTGAAATTACTACAATCTCCACAAAACCCCTTCCGATGCTAACCAACATATGCTCCCTAGTGACTGGCTTCAAGAGGTATATCCTGAAGTTCTAGTGAAAAGCACTGACCAGTCGACTTAAACCGGGTCAGTTGTAGAAATAGTAACTCACTGATGACAATGTTGGAAGTGTCGCTCAATTTCGTGGATTAGTTGAAGTTAGACATTAACACCGTTGGATGCCGCTCAGTGGTCTAGTTGGTCTAGTTGGAGTGAGACTGATAGGTCCTGAGTTCAAATCCCGTGAGGTGGGGTCGTGGATGCACACCACTGAGGAGTCCCACAATGGGGCGAAACGGCCATCCAGTGCTTCCAGGTTTTCCATGGTGGTCTTGCTTCATGATTTGTATTAAATGAAAATCAACTTATTTTATATACGCCTTTCTATGCTAAACTGTCAAAGATTTCAGAACCAACTATGTTCAATAGAAACTATTTTAAGATGTTTGTAGTCTATTTATCAGAGTATCATTGATGAATCCTTTCAGACTAAACAACTTTAATAAGTTCAAGTTAAGAGATAAATTATCTTGTACAAATTATTATTTATCATATCTGAGTTACAGTTATCTCATAAAGTAACTTGCATCGATAGTCACAGTCAGCGAATATTTAGACGAGTGCATAGGTAATTCAATGCTTATAGATTGTACAGTGGTTTATTTCATAAAATCACCCAAAAACAATATTTCACTGAACCTTTCTTAAAGTATTACAATAACATGATTTGAGAGCTACAATTGGAATACATTTTTTTTTAAATAATTTTTTTTAAAAAGTTGACTGGCTATTTCTTACGGTAACTATTTAGCTAATAAACGTCATGACATGTTTTTAACCGTAGAAGAATGCTTTACATCGGTATACGGAAATCTAGGATTGATGAGATCAACATTTAGTTATTCGATGAAGTTTTTAACACGTATTTTACAAATATTTAGACGTTACATCATCAAAGTATGAACATTCTGCTCAGTCTATTTCCAATTTAGTCATTATTTTTTTGAAATTTCCGTCATCATAACCTTTCGTTAACTATTTACTGAAATAAATTAAAGTCAACTGACGCATAACTTTTTCACTATTGAAAATGTCATTAGAATAAGTTTCTGATCTACTTTAATTGGCAACATGGTTACAAAACAATACTGAAAACAATCATAGCAACAAAAAAAGGAAAAAAAGTGAATAATGTACTTAAACTAATTAACCAAAAAGTTTTAAACTAGTCAATGGACAGAAAATTACTTAACTATTTCACGTTATTCAATAATAAAATGATTTTTAAATGTACATTTTTGTTTTTTTTTAGGAAAATGCACTGTTGTGGTTAGATGTACAAAGATACTTGAATAAAGGTAATATAAGGCTGACTTTTAATTGAATCAATGGATGTACAAAAATATGTGATGTAAGAATTTCGGTCGTTTTCATTTTAGTTCCTAGAATTGCACTACTTTTTTCACAAATCATTTAAGATATTTATACATAAACTAGAAACAACTATTACACAATCATTCGCTTACAACAGTAGACAAGAAAGGTATGATATAGGACATAACAAAAAATTGTTATCGCTCAAATTCATTCATCAAACTTGAAAAGACGTTTTGCTTTCTTTTTTTTACAGAATTTTCAGATACTACATTGAGATTAGCCGAGTTTTAGTATAACTCTATTGAAATTAGCTTCCAGCTCAATGGAAAAATGTTTTGTCTTTAGTTACCACTCGGTTTGTGCAAAATCATAATGCATTATTTATTTGAAAAATGGTCGAATTTTGGACAGAGATGTGTTGTTACGTGCAAACATCCTAATTAGTGTCCACTGGATATACGTACTCTGTTCGTGGCGATGATGAAGAATATAGCTTAAAAAATATTCTGTTGCATTCATTGTTTAATTTCCACTAAATCTTGATCTTACAATATTAATTTGAACTTCATTTCATTTTAAAAAATTAATTTATGCTAAGCTTTAACTGCCATGGATATAATCATCAAACCCCTTTTGTCTCCCATATTGTAGCTATGACGATGCAATTTGTAGCCTTAACCTTTAAACCACTGATCTGTCATCCAGCGGTATCTTCGTCATCAGAGACTACATTGATACATCTATAGTGTATGTGTTTATCCGTTGAAGTTAAAGTAGACAGTTAAATTTTTTCTAAAAAAAGGGAACATATTTACATTACATTGATGTAATGTAACTCATTGTGATTCTTGCTCAACATTACTTCCGTTCTTATTTCTATATGATGAATATCAGACTAATATTTGTATTTGTTTTCCAGTGTAATATTTGATTCGGTATGACAATAATTTATTTCAGTGTGATGTTTCATTCAAGATACAATATTCTTGTATAAAATGAACATGAACTATTCTCTACATGGTAGAAAACATGTGATTTTGTTACAACTCTGGATATTCTTTTGATAAATATGATTTTATCCTAATTTTTAATCGAAATGAGTATCTAATCAATATGTATTGAGTGTATTATTGACCAAGGGTTGTCGTATTTCGATGTTAACAATTCATCACTTGTAACAGTTTTGGTGTTCTAACTTCACGTCGTAGGAAATACCGTGGTTTCTCATTCTTTAAACTATAAGAATAAACAATGCAAGTACAACATATGAGAAATGATAAAGAAACGTGCTGTTACATAGTTACTGGTAGTTAATGCAATACGGCAAAGCGAATACAATACATAAAAAGAGAACATCTCTATCAGTGTAAATGTTGTGAGAATAATGTTGAAGTTATGTAGGTATACTAGTCAGTATGTGAAGGATTAAGGTAATAGTGATTACAAAATTACGTGGATTCATTGGGATGACTCTGTAATTAAGACAACCTTCTTTACTTTCATTTAAAAGAAACTGAAAATTTTCGATTTTCAGGTGATCTTTGCAATAATATTTCATGGTTTGAACTTGAAATGAATGGTAAGATTTCTGATCAAACCAAATATAATCAGACAGTAACTCAACAATTAGACTATACTTAGCTATTCAATGTTCAGACTAGATGTTTGATCGTTTAATAACTTCCACAGAATAGTATTCGTAATGACATGAATGGGAAAACATTTTCGGGTTATCCATGTTTTTTTTGTTTCTCATCAAATAATTATTAACGTTATAAATTTTTTTCCGATTTTCGAAACATTAATTAGCCAACAGAAATTCAATGTATTACATGTTACTAATCGACATAAATATCACCTATAAATTTGATTTATTCACACACATAAACCGTCAATATATGATGAAATTAATTTTCATCATTAGTTATACACACTCATATGAATGTTGACTTTAAACAATTTGACTTGAAGTATGAATTTCAATCTAGAAAATATCTGGGTTCAACTAGATCATGGTAGTACTAAAGTAATGTAAAACAACTTTGTATTTTCTTTAGATTGTTAATCTTAAATTCTGCCCTAGGTCAGAATCTTCAATGTGTATGTCAAAACAATTCTACTATATGGGGCAGAAACCTTAAGAACTCAGAAAATCATCATCTAGAAGATACAAGTGTTTATTAACTGTTGTCTACGCAAAATACTTCGGATCCGTTGGCCAGACACTATCAGCAAAAACCTACTGTGAGAAAGAGAAAAACAGATCCCAGTGGAGGAAGAAGTCAGGAAGAAGCGCTGGAAGTGGATAGGACACACATTGAGGAAAGCACCCAACTGTGTCACACGACAAGCCCTGACGAGGAATTCTCAAGGCCAAAGGAGGAGATGAAGAACAAAGTACATTATTATGCCGATAAATGGAGATAGACATGAGAAAAATGGACAACAACTGGATAGAACTAGGAAGGAAGGCCTAGAACAGAGCGTAAGCGAGTAATCTTAAATTTTAAACTAAACTGTTCCAGATCCTTATATTTCAGTTAATATCTAATTATATTTGATATTTAGGAGTTAAATTACATTGAACTATTCCAATTATTATATTACAACAATGGAACATTTTCAACTCAAGTTATTAATTTAGTTTTATTAAATAAAATAATGAACTTCTAAGTTTGTTTTATGTAACTTCAATCTTCAATTTGAACAGTTTTTACATCCCAAAATCTGACTTAATGCATGAATTGAAATTCCTGTTTTATTTATTTATTTATTTATTTAGAAAACTGTCCTATATTTACAAAAATAGCTTGATCATATTGTTAGCCTATCAAGAAAAAAGAGAAAAGCACAATCATATAAAGAACATAATAACTTAATAGTGTAAATGAATATACAAATCTAAATGTAGTACTTAAATAATTACTAAACTAGCAAACTAAAAATAGTTTTATATCCCATGTTTATTCTCTATATGTAATGTTACTATTTATAATCAAATTGATCATGCCTGGTAATTGGCATGACCTATGTAATTATTGTTTCCAGAATATATTATTATTTTTGATTGAGATCATGAACTGATTGATGTTAGACCACCATTGAAAACCTGGAAGTACTGGACGGCCGTTTCGTCCTATCGTGGAACTCCTCAACAGTGCGCATCCACGATCCCACTCGCAAGATTCGAAATAAGGGCCTTCAGTATTGCGCGCGAACGCTTAATCTAGTGGACCACTGAGCCAGCATCCAATGGTGATAGTGTCTAACATCAACCAATCCACGAAATTGCACGACCATCTTCTGTTGTACTGAGGTAGACACCTGTCTCTACCCTACATGGATTAGCTTCTCTGGTCACCAATTCTCACCAGAACTCCGAGAATTCCCTCACGAAGCTAGTCATCAATGAGCACAAGGTAATTATCAGTTTAGGGGTTGTGAAGATTGTTAAGTTTTTGATTGAGA